CAACAGCCTCATCGGACATTCTCGACCGATGATGAATGATGAAGTATTGGATCTCGTCCATCGTATGACTTTCGTTGCAACCGCGCTGCTTGCCCTGCGTCGACGACCACCTATGATCGACGCAATCCGTCACACCGGGGGACTTGTCTTCGTTCATTCGATAACCGGTTGGAATTTTTACTTCTTGCAGTGTCCAACCATCGACCGATGACGGGTCGATCAGCTGGTCGAGACCGACGGTCTTTGAGGTCTTTGATGTTCTGTCGAACAATCTGTCTTTCCCCGGCTCTTGCCCCAGACAATTCCAGAGTATGTTGGATGTTGGGGAAAGCAAAGCACCGATAAGAAAAGCAAAAATAAAATTAAATAAGATAAAACACTAGAACCACAAATTACAAACAAAGAGGACTCCGTAAGAGGGGTCTTCTTTTCTTGGGGGGCCGTTATCACCTCATTTCATCATCATCACTGCCGAAGATGTTATTATCATCATTCAACCCCCATTCTCGGGGGCCACCCTCCTTTATTCCCCTCGCCGCTTTCCTGGGATTCTTTGCCCTTTCGTCGTCGTCGTCACATGGATGTCTTTTCCTCTCGCTTCTTTCTTTCTTTCTTTTCTTGAATTTTGGGCTTCCCTCCCAAAAACAACAACAAAAACACCACCATCACGTAATATACCTGGCGCTTGGTCTGTAATCGTCGTACTTCTCCATGTTTGCCTGGTCGCCTATCGAGGCGGATTCTCCAGATCATCCGCGATAGCCGGTTCGGAGCTTTGGGACGGGACGTTCGTTAGGTATGATTATTACCAGTTCGTACGGGGGTTGACACACGCCATACGGAGACAGAGCGAGGGGGGACGGTACTCCGGAGTACCGTCCTAGACCGTCGGACGGGACACGCACTTCTCCAGACCACACAGCCACTTCTGCAGTTCCAGTTTCTACTCCGTAATCCCTATCGATTTTAGTTTGCCCCACATTTTTTTTTGTTTTTCTTTTTTTCTCTCCCGGTCAGTCAGGACTCAGTAGTTGCTCCGTAGTGGCTCTTTTTTTTCTCTCTCTTTTTTTGCACTCCGTAAACACCCTGCGTGTCCCAAAAAGAACGAACGACCGAAGCCTTCTCTTCCCCCCAAGAGTAGGCAGCAATTAAGGAGGATCTCACTCTCACCTGCTTCACTGGGAAGATAAAAATAAAAAGGTACATCAACCTCTTAGAAGAGTACAAAGAAGTTACAAGGCAGAAAAGAAAGTATTTTCTCTCCACTGAAAATCGGCATGGGAGAATCTCCAGCCGATCTGAGTTGAGCACGTTCTTTTTCTTTTTCTTTACCTTTTTTTTATTTTTTATTTTATTTTTTTTCTTTTTGCCCCCCGATATTCCTCCCCACACATAGTACTTAGGTTTTTTTTCTTTTCTTTTTTTCCCCTTCCCTTTTTCTTTTTTCAATTTTCGAATTTTTTTTTTTTCTTTCAAATTTTTTTTTTTCTCTCTTTTCCATTTTTCCTTCCCTCCCTTCTCGTCGCCGATTCCGATAAACCCCCTCCCCTAGCACTCTTCTTCTTCCTCCCCTCCGAGCTCCGTTTCTTTTATTCCCCTCCATTCCTCTTTCCACTTCTTCCCGACTCTCCTTTTTTATTTCTCCTTCTCCCCAGATCGTCTTCTCCAGATTTTATCTCTCATCCCATCTCAAGTTCCTTTGTTCAACTTCGCCCTTCTTGGCTCGCCATACTCCGGCTTTCTTCCCGCCACCGGCTGCTGTACACCCTTCTACATACAACACCTTTCCTACGTCGGAAAGACCCCCTTGTCGCTTCCAGCTCCACTAGTTTGCGTGCAATTCGCTATCGCATCCTCGCTTTCGGTCTCATCGCGAAGTCTCCGACTACCCCTGCGGTGACATCCTATCATACTGCCAAGCATTCAAGCCTAGGGCGTTGATCGACTTGCCGATTTAGCTCCCTGTCGCAACGAATCCTATTTCGCCTCGGCCTTGCATTCGTTCTGAACGTGCAATTCCTTCAACTCCCGACTCTGTCCCACTCTGGCCTACCCCCACGGAGTTGAATTAGGAGGAGCTTCACATGCCGCCCCCGGCCGCCTCAGTGGATTTTTCTAATCTACTGAACCCCCAGAGCAACACAACTGTCTCCGCCCCTTCCACCCCTGTGGACAGTTCTAAAGCCCCCTCTACTCCTTCGAGTACCCAGTCCAATCCAGCCATGGCCTCGTCTGTGAGCCTATTACCTCCTCTTATGAAGGGTGCTCGTCCCGCCACGGAGGAAGTGCGCCAGGATCTTCCCCGACCCTACAAGTGTCCCCTCTGCGATCGTGCTTTCCATCGTCTGGAGCATCAGACCCGACACATTCGCACCCATACCGGTGAGAAACCGCACGCGTGTCAGTTCCCTGGCTGCACCAAGCGCTTCAGTCGTTCCGACGAGCTCACTCGCCACTCGCGAATTCACAACAACCCCAACTCCCGACGGAGCAACAAGGCACAGCACTTGGCTGCTGCTGCTGCCGCTGCCGCCGGACAAGACAATACCATGGTCAACAACGCGGGTTCAATGATGCCGCCCCCGAGTAAACCCATGACTCGATCCGCCCCTGTTTCGCAGGTCGGCTCTCCTGATATCTCTCCCCCTCACTCTTTCTCAAACTATGCCGTCCACATGCGCTCGAATCTGGGACCTTACTCTCGCAACACCGATCGGGCTTCGTCCGGAATGGACATCAACCTCCTGGCCACGGCCGCGTCCCAGGTCGAGCGCGACGAGACGTTCAACTTCACAGCCGGTCCGCGCACCCCCATCTTCGGCTCTCGCCACCATGGCGGCAGTGGCCGATTGCCGTCGCTTTCTGCCTACGCAATCTCCCACAGCATGAGCCGCTCGCATTCGCACGAGGAAGAGGACGGTTACTCGCATCGTGTTAAACGCTCGAGACCCAACTCTCCCAACTCCACCGCCCCCTCTTCGCCCACTTTCTCTCATGACTCTCTTTCTCCTACTCCCGATCACACTCCCTTGGCAACTCCCGCGCATTCTCCGCGGTTGAGGCCTCTTGGCACCAGCGAGCTACACTTGCCGTCGATTCGCCATTTGTCGCTCCACCACACCCCTGCGTTAGCTCCCATGGAGCCGCAACCGGAAGGCCCCAACTACTACAGCCCCGGTCAGGGCCACAGTGGTCCGAGCATCAGCGATATCATGTCGAAACCTGATGGAACGCAGCGCAAACTTCCCGTGCCCCAGGTCCCCAAAGTGGCCGTGCAAGACATGTTGAACACCCCAACTGGGTTCTCTTCCGTTTCCTCGTCGACCAACAATTCCGTGGCCGGAGGAGATCTAACGGATCGCTTTTAGTTGGATTCAATGCATTCCAGCTTTTTCCAGTGTAAAAAAAAAGTGGATTCCAAAACAACAAAATTATACGCGCTACGAAACGAATAGACTTGTGCATTTACAGTGTGGTTTATGGGCATCCTTGGTGTCGGGTGATTGGTTTTATTTTCAAGTTCATACATTTTGCGTGGCGTCTTTACCGATAGACGGATGGGATTTCGTTGGTTTTTCATACTTCTATACTCACATTCTGCCTTCTCTTCGTCTTTTCCTTTTATATCACGTTACATTCTCCCATCATTTGTTCCTTCAAACATTTACCTTCTTGACTGTACCGTTTTCCAATCAGAACTTGCTATTCAGCCTTTTTCTTTTCTTACTCTGTTCTCCTCTCTACGGCCGCGGCCTCAATAATTCGATTTTACATCGTGTCTCCCAACACTTTCTATTCTATTCATATCCCATACATAGTTTCTTTAGATTCGGAACTTTTAACAGGACAGGCGGGCCTACACAAAAATAAAGACGAGTTTTGATTATCACTTTCAGGGATTATATTTAGTAGTATCTCGTGCCTTGTACGAAGGAGGTGACAATGGAATGCCCAGTGATCTTGTGCATATTTACACCCATCTGGTGGACAGTAGTCAAGTCATTCACGCGCGGATGAGAATCCGGTTCCCGGGGTCGCATGACACGGTCACGGACTCGGAATGATCTACAGTGTGATCACTCTCGAGTGAAGAATGTACGAACATGGGAGCTTGTTATCTCAACCGCTAGGCAAGTAGACTATCCCGTATCCCCGATTAGAGGATGCTGGAGAAGGGCAGTGGGTGCCTGAAAGATCTGGCAGCACCGGGATGGGGTAGGTATGCCGCCCGTTTGGTACGGTATGGTAAGACGGGGAGAAACAGGCTAAATCAACACACAAAAAGAATGGGAATTACTGGAAACTCGAAATAAGAAAAAGGAAAAATAGATCGAAGGGTAAAAAAGCAAAGAAAAGGAAAGAAAACAACAGCCAGTGTTTGCTTCCCAGCTGCCTCACCTTTGGGCCGACTGGTTCTTGTTCGCTCGGAGGCTTAGGTTAAATCGGCCATCTTCCATCTTGTTGGCCGCCAAATTTCCCCTCTTTCCAGCTCAGCTTCCTCCAGCCATGATGCTCCAGATGCTTCCTCTCGCCCTGCCGTAGCCGGGCATCCTGACGGTGTCTGTTTATCTGACGCTGTTATTCTGATCGACATTATCATCATATCAAGGTAACGAGATGAGATGCCTTCTTCCTTGGTGTTTTCCAACTTGGCGCTACTTCTCCCCCCCCGCTTTGGCGAGTCGCCGCTTGAGCTCGGGGAAAGGACGTCTTGATAGGAAACCCATGGCCCGGGCTTGTCCTCCTTACTCGCCGCTCCCTGGCTAAGTATCTGGGCACAGGACTTTCTTGCTTTTTTCGGATCGATTAGCACCCAGGTTGCTTCTCCGTGCTTCTAGCACGTCCCGCGGACTGGAGATCTTTCTAACTCCTCTTGTCACCCGTCTGGGACACCCGACGTACCTTGACTCGGGGGCGAGAGAGAAAGGTACGCGAAAGCCATCGTAGTCGGGGATTCGAAAGGGGGGAAAGTATAGCCGGAAACAACCATGCCGCCCTCGATGGTTGTCCCGTCACTATCGAGCGACAACGCATCGGAAGCCTCCTCGTCGACCAGTCTGTCCCTAGACACGAGATGGGCGTCCGGGATCGCAGGCCAAGATATTCTCGAGGACGACGGCACAGGGGCTCTCGTTGTGCCTGCTCACCGAGCCCGCCTCCACCAGCACATATACATCTGCCTCTTCCACATCCTGGACTGCCATCACACGTTCGATGACCCCGATCAATGGAGGACCCACGTATATAGCCATTTTCGGACCCACGAGCCGCCTCGCACGGCGCGCTGTCCGCTGTGCCCGACGCAGCGGTTCAGCGATACCCCCACTGACAAGGGCTGGGATCTCATGCTGGACCATGTGGTCGGAGCGCACTACCAGCAGGGCCAGACTCTTGCCGGCAGTCGTCCGGATTTCGAGCTGATGCAGTACCTCTACCGTCTGCGGATCATCAGCGTGGATCAGTTCAAAGTCATGCAGATGCCGCCGCCGCCGTCGAGTCCCGCATATCACCGATCGCAGGAACCCGTTCGCGCGAGTATCGGCTCGTCCGACGAGCCGTATTGTGCGCCGTATAGTCGGCGACGAGAGGAAAGAGTGCGGGGCCAGCGGAGGGGGGTGAGCGTTGCGTAAATGATCGAAACAGGGCGGTGTTCAGTATCCCCCCTTGCAGCCTTGCAGGGATAATGGCGATGCTGGTTGGGGGTTTTCATCCGTCAATCACCTTTCACTCGTTCGTTTCTTCGAAAGGGCTCCTTTATCGGTCTATCTTTTCTAATGGCTCCATCCGTCTATTCTTGTTTTGTTTTTCTGCTGGTATCTTGGCCCTGCAAAAGCTTCCATGGTCTATTGCTTCTTTCTTTCGGCGATTTATTTGGTCATTTTTGTTTTCAGAAACCTGTTAGGAGGTTACCTAGGGGCTTGGTCAGCTTGATGTGGATGGTGGCGGGGCATCCTCTTACTGGAAGACACGGCTTTTCTTGATGAATCATGACGAATTCTATATCTCATATTGTGGCAATGGACACTTTCTTGGTCTTCGAATGCACCTAGTATAGATCGATTTATCGGGCACTTCAGAGACGCGGAGCTGACTTACATTCGGATATGGGAATTGGGGCTACTCAGGATTGGGGATCAGCTTCTTTTGAGTACCCCTTCACGGTTACTCCCAAAGATCTACATTGGGAATCTTCGGTGAGGCGTCATTTTCGATAGATCGCATTTCCCCGCATAGTCTGTATCCCAGATGGATGTTGGGCGGGTGTTTTTTTTTTTTTTTAGCCAACATTAGAGGTCACTGGGGTCGAAACAAATCAGGAGTATCGAAACAGGGCAGTAGATCTATTTAGTATCGTTGTTTATCCCTTGAACCCAATCATGATCCCCGCGATCTGACATGTTCGCGTCTATACTTCGGACTTACTGTCAGTTGATATTCCCCGGGCGAGGCAGACAAACAGGACAAACACCCCCAAAGTCCCGATCCCGAAGCATCGCTCTGTTCCCACCACCATTTCTTGCTTTTTGCTAGCTCCAGTGCAACGTCCCGTCGATTCCAAGCTCTCCGATCGTCGTCCTCGCAGAATGAGAGCATCGCTAGCTCTATTCATTCTTTGATTATTTATCCGACTCCCCCGAATTTCCGATCCCGAGCACCCTCATCCTAGAATTGACGCCGCAATCGTCGCCTGCCCACCAACCCCTCCTCCACTACCAGCAATCACCAACTTCGAGTTCACGACATAGAATTCAATCAATATGGAGCGCCTTTCGATCAACGATCCTCCCGCTGGTCCTCAACATGGCAACGCACCCCCCGGGTTTCCCCCGCAGCAACAGCAGCAGCAGCAGCAGCAACAGCAGGGGCAGAATAACAACACGCTGGGCCCGATGTCGCATGGCCCGCCGCAATTACCTCCACAGATGTTCACCACTGCGGCCCAGCTGTTAGATCTAACGGATAGTATGTTCTGTTCTCTTTGCTGCGTTCGCGCGCCTCGGCCTATCGCCTTGTCCCAAAGTTGGATAGTTAGATTGGTCTCTTCCTCCCTGGCTAACCAGCGCCCCAGAGAAACTCGTCCTAGTGTTGCGCGACGGAAGAAAATTAATTGGCGTGTTGAGAAGCTGGGACCAATTCGGTAGGACTTCCTCGGTTTCTATCTGGCTTCGTCTCGTCTAATGTGATTTCCGCCTGCAGCGAATCTTGTTCTCCAGGATACCATCGAACGAATGTATGCGGGCAACCTGTACGCCGACATCCAGCGGGGTATTTTCATAGTCCGAGGAGAGAACGTGTTGCTTCTGGGTGAAATCGTATGTGTCATACCCTCCTGAAACAGCCGCCTCCCTCCCCTTCCCCCTTCACATGCTGACAACAAGTTCCCGCAGGACCTTGACAAGGAAGACGAATTGCCAACGACAGTCCAACGAGCGCCCTTCCAGGAAGTGTTCGAGTTGAAGAAGCAAGAGGATGCGCAGCGGAAAACGGGCGACAAGAAGCGCCAGGGCAAACTCCAGTGTCTTGGATTCGAGCCTGAACACAGCGGAGAGATCCTGTTTTAGGCGTTATGTACGAACCATTTTGTTTGCTTGTGCTGCGTCTCTTGTCTGCGTCGCTATATCCGACGACTGCACGAAGGCCAGCCGATCGGCTTGTCTTGTCACTTTGAGAGCGGTTATACCTCTCGAAATGATCGATGGTCCGAGATTTCAAATGAGAACGAGAACGAGAACGCTCCTCGGGTCCGTCGTTGCTGTCGGCCCTACTCCCCGATCACCTGTACTTTGACGGTATAAGGTACGGAGACTGAATGGGAGTGATTCTAGGCCCAACGGGCTGTCGTCGACTCACAGTGTGAAAGGGACCCTTCAGGCGACGAAAGGGTTGATTGATAGATGAGCAGGAGGGATCGCGATCTTTTGTGAACCTGGCCGGCGAGGGGACAGGCTGGTGGCTATGCTTGATGATCATTATGTCTTATTATTACGCCCTTTCTTCCCTTTCTATGTGTCCTTGGTGTTCTTTTCTGTCGTATTCAAACAAAACCGTCGATGTGGACTGGCTGGCCGTTGGAAAAGGCGTAGGTGCTATACTCTAGAATTCCTGGAATACGAGTCTCTTAATAATCAGGATTCAATATTTTCATGACTAGCATAATTCTAAAACCTTCATAGACAAGTGCAATAGTGTCGAACAGATAGATGTGTAGAAGTGACTATCAGTTGCTATCGATAGCGATGCCAAGACTTGCCGTACCTTTTTTTTTTTTTCCCTCTACTGATTAAAATTCCATTCGGATCTCTTGAGAAAAAAAAAAAAAAAACTCTCTCCGCAATCCACCAGGAGAATCACTTCTTTCTCTTTTTTCTCCCCTCCTCACACCACTTTCTGCTTACGACTTCTCAACTGCCTGTTGGTCGATCAGCCCGTCATGGCGACCCTGGCGGAGAAGCTCGAGAAGATCAAGTCTCCCAAACTGCAGAACCAGCACCATGTAAGTCCCGCCTTTGCCTGCCCAATTGTTCAATTCATAATCGGTTTGCTCCGTCGCGACATAAATCCCCATTGCTAATCTTTTTTTTGTTTTCCGAAGACCGCCGTGGTTCTCTCTGCAGTGGAAGATACTCTCCGTGACCAAAAAGCAGACTTTTCTGCCACAGCCTACTTCGCCGCGCTACTCGCCCTGCTATCTCAGTCGCTATCCACTACCCAAGGCATTGTGAACAAGGATTTGGCAACCTCCGTCGTCTATCTGCTCGACATCACCACTGCCTACGTCCCCGAATCGATCCTCCGCTCCAAATTCTCCCAGATCCTCACCAGTCTTGCGCCGGCTCTTTCCCTGCCTGAAGTTGAAGCCCCGCTGCTCCGACCCTCAATCGGCTGCCTCGAATCGCTACTCATCGCTCAGGATGCGGCCGCATGGAACCTCCCACACACCCAGATCAGTCCACGTCGGGCCATCGCGGGATTGCTGAGTCTGGCCGTCGACCACCGCCCGAAGGTGCGCAAGAGGGCCCAGGATGCTCTGATTCAGGTCCTCAAGTCGCCTCCCCCGAGCCCGTCGCTCGATCACCCCGCCGCCGATATGTGTGCGGAAACCGGCATGCGGACATTGGGCGACAGCATCACCGCCGCGTCCAAGCAGCGTCGCGGCCGCAACGACCCCCACAGCCGAGAGAACCACGATCCCTTGGTCATCCATTCCTTGCAGCTAGTGAAGACCGTCGCGACCGCATCGGGCGGATGGCCCAGCAAGAAGATCGAGCCGCTCTGCGAGCTGCTGATGAACGCCTCCCGATCGACCAACGAGTACATTACGATGGGTGCGTTCGAGGTATTCGAGGTCATCTTCTCCAGCATGGCCAATGAATTCTCATCCTCCAAGCTCCCTCGCCTGTTGGACGCCATTTCCGAGCTGAAGCCCGCGCAGAACGACTCCCAGCTGCTTCCGCCCTGGATCGCCGTTCTGTCTCGCGGTTACGACGTCTCTGCCCAGATCAGCCCCGAGGATACGTTTGAGAAGCTTCCCGACTTGTTCAACATGATCGCCAGCTACCTGGCCTCCCCGTCCAGCAACATCCGCGTGTCGGCGTCCGAGTGTCTGGTCTCGTTCTTGGCCAACTGCATTCCCAACTCCGTGATTATCGAGCCGTCGGTGTACGATGAGAAGACCCTGGAGAAATTGGCGAAGGCGGCCACCGACCTGCTCTCGGTCAAGTACCAGGCCGCGTGGGCCGAGGTGTTCAACGTGTGCTCGGCGATGTTCGACAGCTTCAAGTGGCGCTCGAGCCCGTTCCTGGACAGTATCGTGAAGACGGTGGGCGAGCTCCGCACCAACGAATCGTTCCACGGCAAGAAGGAGGCGGATCAGGTTCTCGGCAGCGCCGTTGAAGCCATGGGCCCCGAAGCCGTCCTGGAGATCCTGCCCTTGAACATCATCGAACAGAGGGCTGGCCAACCAGGCCGTGTCTGGTTCCTTCCTGTTCTCCGCGACCATGTCACCAACACGAACCTCGCCCACTTCCGCACCGAGCTGGTTCCTCTGAGTGAGACGCTCTACCAGAAGATGATGGACTTCAGCTCCGCCGAGAAGGCGGTCGAGACCAAGATCTTCGAGACGCTGGTCCAGCAGACCTGGGCGGTCCTCCCCGGCTACTGCGAGCTTCCCCTGGATCTGGTGGAGTCTTTCGATCAAGGCTTTGCCGAGCTTCTTTCCAACGTTCTCTACAAGCAGACCGACCTGCGGGTGGATATCTGCCGAGCGCTCCAGAACTTGGTCGAGTCCAACCAGGCCATCTTGTCCGTTGAGACGGAGGGCGATGATTTGATTCTTCAGCGACGAATCACGAAGGAGGCCGCTGCGAAGAACATTGCTCATCTGGCTGGGTTCGCTAGCAACCTGCTGGCCGTGCTGTTCAACGTGTACAGCCAGACCCTCCCGCACTACAGAGGGTACATCCTTCAGTGCATCAATGCCTATCTGAGCATTACTCCCGAGAAGGTTGGTTGACAGTTGTTACTGTTCCATAAATATGACATTGCTAATCTGTTTACGCTATATAGGAGCTGAACGAGACGTTTGCCCGTGTCACCACCATGCTCGAATCGTCGGTTGCCTCGGAGCAGGAAGCCTCTAAGCAGGGCAACCAGCAGGGCGGTTCCGGCGACAAGATGCCACCCACCTCCCACACTCTGATCGACCTGGTCATCGCCATGTCGATTTACTTGCCTCGCGAGAGCTTCGCCAGCCTGTTTGCCCTTGCCTCGGCCGTCCTGAACGGCTACACCGGTGACCAGCAGCTGATCAAGAAGGCCTACAAGCTGATCCCTCGCTTGGCTTCGACGGAGACTGGATGCGATGCCCTTCGCGAGCGCAGTGGGGAGCTGCAGACCTTGATCCTTTCGACCGCCGACAAGACGCCCGCGTCGGCTCGCCGGGACCGTATGCTCGCCATCCACGAGCTCATCACCTACCTGCCGACCTCCGATCTGCACTTCATTCCCTCCGTCCTCTCCGAAGTGGTCTTGGGCTGCAAGGAAAGCAACGAGAAGGCCCGTACCGCCTCCTTCGACCTGCTCATTCACCTCGCGAAGAGAACCGCCGACTCCGAACGTAACCCCCCCGGCACCATGATCCGCAACGGACTGGTCCCCCACATGCCCGACGACGCCCCAGATGCCCCCGCCACGATCGAGGAGTTCTTCACCATGGTGTCTGCCGGTCTGGCCGGTAGCTCGCCTCACATGGTCGCGGCGTCGGTCACGGCGCTGTCCCGCCTGTTTTTCGACTTCCACACCGAGATCCAGCCGGCTATGTGCAACGACCTCGTGCAGACCGTGGAGCTCTTCCTGACCAGCAACAACCGCGAGATCGTCCGATCCGTGCTGGGCTTCGTCAAGGTGGCCGTCGTCGTTCTCTCCGACGAGAGCCTGCGCGCGCGTCTGAACACCCTCGTCCCCAACCTGATGGTCTGGAGCAAGGAGCACAAGGGCCGTCTCCGCAGCAAGGTTAAGGGCATCCTGGACCGACTGATCCGACGCTTCGGCGCTGCCCCCATCGAGGAGCTGGTCGGCGAAGCCGACCGCAAACTGGTGGTCAACATCCGGAAACAGCGCGAGCGATCCAAGAAGAAGAAGAAGGAAGGCGCTCTGGCCGGTGAAGACGACGAGGAAGAGGACGGCGACAACGCCGCCGAGACCAACGCCAACACGGCCGCCAACACCAAGGGCGGCCGCACGTACAGCAACGCCTTCGACAAGGCCGTCTACGACTCCGACTTCTCCGACTCCGACGACGACGCCAGCGAGATCGACTTCGACGCAGAAGGCGGCGCCCACAAGTCTGGCGGTCGTCGCGGCAGCAGCAACCGGAAATCCAAGCAGAGCGAGCAGTACATCCGCGAGATGTCGCCCGAAGACAACCCGCTCGATCTGCTGGCGCCCGACGCCCTGGCCAACATCTCCACCACCAAGCCGAGCGTTCGCTTCCTCAACACGGGCCCGGGATCCCGCCGCAAGCACTCCGCCAAGGTCGACTCCGACGGCCGTCTCATCCTGGGTGATGGCGACGCTGACGCGGACACCATGGACCTCTCCGGCGAAGGCGGGGATAGCGGCATCAACGCCTACGTTGCCGCTGTCAGCGGGCCCGATGCCGTGCGCCGCGGCCAGCGCGGCAAGGTCAAGATGGGCCAGACCCAGCAGAAGAAGAAGTTCCAGGGTGGTGCTGATGATATGGAACTGGATGAGGACGACACCGCCGCGATCGCCGCCAAGACTTCCGGTCCCCCCGGTCGTCGTGGTCTTGGTATGCCCAAGGAGCACGGCGCCAGTGGCGGACGCGTTCAGAAGCGCTTCAGTGGTAATGGACGAGGCGGTGGCCGTGGAGGAGGTGGATTCCGTGGCGGTGGTGGACGAGGTGGCGGTGATCGTGGAGGAAGTGGTTTCCGGGGAGGTGGTGGCCGTGGAGGCGGTGGATTCCGAGGAGGTAGTGGTGGATTCCGAGGAGGTGGTGGACGAGGAGGTGGTGGACGAGGCGGTGGTGATCGTGGAGGACGAGGAGGCCCCCGATTTGGTGGAAGAAGAGGTTAAAAAAATTCAACAATCAGATTGAATTGTACGACGTTGATGAAACCCACACAAAGCCAACGCCACGCTAAAATTTGAAAAAGCAGGACAGGGACATCTATAAATACCTTTGCTTTGAATTGTTTATTGTTTATACAAATTTATTTTCCTTTTCTTTCCATTTTTGAAATGCTGTTTGATATCATATCATGTTGTATCTTGTTACTTAACTTCCTATGGAGATGAACATGGACATGGCATGGCATCGAACAGCCATGATTTATGGACGAGGAAACATAATCTCCAAAATTGACTGACACATTGATTATCTATCAAAGTAGTCTAATCCATACCTCCCCTAAGTATATATCAACATACCCATGAAGTTTCAAACTCAACAATTGAGTTCTTTATGTCTACTTAAACTTTAGTGTCGGATCTACATAACTAGATAAGCCAAGTAAGTAAGTACAGAAAGAAGATAAGCAACCATAGATAGATAGGTAGCACCAAGTCCATACATCCTTTGCATTGCTGTAGGAAGTACATACAGACTATAGACTATAGACTACACATGAGAAACATATGCCCAAAGCTAGTAAATAACCATGAAAGAGATAAAATGACGAAATTCAGCCAGCAGATCAGGGTTAATCGATCGATCTTCGATCTCAGATCACGGTTCTGAACTCTGTGGGTTACCTAACTAATTAACTACGTAATTAGTCAACTAGTTAAATCATTTAAAATATCCCAGTTCCTACTGCTATACCTACTGCTATGTAAGTAATTAATTCATCTGACAGCGTAGTTAGTACTAGTGGTTGCTAGTTAGTTAGCTAGCTGGTTCGTTAACTTAACTTCTTAACTAGTTGTTGACTTGTCGCGCGGTTATCAGTATTACTGTTAGTGTTGTCGGTCGGTCAGCTATCTATCTGAATCTCCTGCTCTGGATATCACTAGATCTCTCACTCCTACACTAATCATTAGGTACATATATACGGAGTACAATACTGTATGATGAGCACGCCGAGTGCGATTTGCCCAACGCTAGATTCCCTGACCCCGGTAGCTACTAGTTACTAGGCAAACATCAAGTCGAACGTTGGTGTGAAGTCACTCTGCATATTAAGAGCCCGATGATATGACAGATCAGATTATCAGAGTCAGAGGCGAGGCTACTCAAGTCGCTAATCTAAATTAAAATTTCCCAAAGCCCCTCCTCCCTCGTAAAGCGAAAGTCCGGGGGAGTTTGATCCTAAGAACTTCTTCTTTCTTTCTCCGCTCGCTTGCCTTTCTCCTGTCTTCCTTTCTTCCCTCTATCTCCGTCTTCTTTGCTCGCTTTCTTTTTCCGGATCATTCTTCTTATCTCCTCATCTGCTCTGCTCTGCTCTGATTTGACCTGTGGTCCTCGGAAAAGTACCGCATATTTAAACCCGAAACAAGTGCCGAACCCTAAATCAAACAAAGAAAGATAAAAAAAGAAAAGGGGCAAAGGGGAACCAAAAAGATGATATTAAATCCACGGCCAAGGCCAGCATAAAGAGAAAAGAAAAAGACCAGCCTGGGTATCAATTCTTCAAGTGATAGAAGTACAGTACACACGAAAATTGCCCACTTCGTTGGTTTCGAACGATTATCCACTTCCCATTTCCTTCTTTGGCCGTGCACGCAAATCAAGCCAATTCTTTCCCTCTTGGGTAGGTGATCTGGTCGTGCTTCTTCTCTTTCCTTTCGTGTTGTTGGAAGTGCTAAAAGGCCACGTCTCGTTCTCTCGGTGCAGGGGTTGATAAGAAAGACGGACAGAAAAGCCGACACAACCAAAAAAAGGCAAGCGGCTCAGAAGCAGGCAACAAATCAACGCCCCGGCGCCGGTACAACCATTTCCAACTCCTGTACACTCACGCATGAATCAGATTAAAAGGATATAGAAAAAAGACAAAAGGCTTCAAAAAATCATTCCACATATCCCAAACATTGGTATCATGCCAACGTCAAAAACCAAAAAAAAAAAAAAAAAAAGTCAATCAGAACAAACCAGGATGAAAATCACGCTGGATAGCAAGAGATGATAAAATAAGAGGGGATATCCAAAAAGAAAATGAAAAATGAAAAAGAAAAATATGAAAAGCTATGAGAGCCAAAGAGTTCCCCAGGTGGCTGATTATTAGCGAGGCGACTTTCGAGCCTTGCCTAACCATATATGCCACCATCTAGCGACTCCAAGAACAGCCGCTCGACCGTCATCCTTCCGCTCCGTGCCATCTGGGTTGCCGAGAACCATGGCAAATATCCAGAAAAAGGCCGCTGTCCAAACGAGAAGAAGGAAGGCCAGGGAGAGGAGAGATGATACGAGGAGAACCGCTACCAGGCCGCCGACGGAATAGGCTTCGCACGGATTTGAAGCCGACGGCCGGTCCGGATCGTTATTGTGTATTGATTGCGTCGACGCCGATCGAAAGGAGGATTTGCGCAGACAGACCAGTCGCTCATGAAGATGCAACTGCGGGACGAGAAGATCGCATAGTTGTGCGCGAAACGAGGTGGATCGAAGGTAAGGAATGCAGGAACAGAGACGAAAGGGGGCGGTGAAGAGGACGAAGAACAAGCCGAAGACGGTGTATAGAGATGCACATAGAGAAAAGATCGGTACCGGCAGAGAGAGTCGGAACTGGAAACGTTCGCAGATGGTTAGCAACATGACATTTGACCTTCCTCCTTCGAAGAAAAACTTACCAGCATCAACAATGCATCCTGACTATCGTCCGCCAAAGGTTCTTCATCATGAATCGGTCGTTTGTGAACGCGAGGGGCACTATGGTGATGGTTGTCGCCGGACATGGAGGACGAGTGGTCGGTCCAACTCCCACGAGTCCGGTCTTCCTTTCGTGCGGCCCCGTTGCTATACGACGCCGGAGTTGACGCAGGGCCATTTTCTCTGCGGGATGAAGGGACGGACACCGGAGTCACGACAGGGGGCTCGGGATCTGGGTATATCAACTCCCCCGGAGCCTGCTGCTGTTGATAGTGACGCGGCAACCGGTGCGGCTCCTGCGGATATTGGTGAAGATAGGACACATCCCACGAATCGGAAGGGAAGGCGTTCGGAGAGGCATCTTCAACGGAATTGAGTTCAGACGGAGGGTAGATGGCCGCCCCCTGCTTAGAACGATGAGGATCCGACGGGGGATGATGCGCTGCAGGAGGAACGGCGGGAGTCGTTGAGGGATCATGAAGGGATGTCGTCATGAGGTGGCCATGCTCTTGGTAGTAGGCAGGCGAATGGGTCATCTCCTGCTGCCTCATGGTGGGCGGAGACCAGGCAAAAAGAGGAAGGGGGAGTCGGTGGAGCAAAAACTAAGATCTTCTCGCTCTCTTGATCTCTGGCGGTCTCTCTCTCCCCCTTCAGAGATCGTTTACGGCGGGAGAAGCACAAGGTGGTACAGAGGCGCACACAGAGCGACAGGGACAAGCTCACCGCATGGCTTCACGCGCAAGGGGCATTACTCTGTTCGGTCCTTAGGGCAAGGGTTTCTGACGGTCGATCCCTCCAAAAAGCAAAAGTAAGGCGGGGGAGAGGATTGGTGCAATCAGAGTGCGAGTATGGGGAGATAGGGGAGGGGGGCAGACGCAGAACGGAGGACGAACGATAGGGAGGAGAGGGGGGGAACCTTAGGACCAGGAGGAGCGGAGGGAGGAAACCAGGAGACTTATAGGACATCCATGAGGGAGGACCAAGAGAAAAGGATGCAGAGCGGAAACCCAAGAAAAAGACAAGAACCAAGAGAAAAAGCCTGTCTTGTCGAGGGAGACAGCAGCGGAAGGGGGAAGTTCTTTCTTCTGGCTTTTTTGTTGCCAAGACGCCCAGGTGCCGAGCCCTTGGCATGGACGACGTCAAAAAGTGTCACATAAATTCATCCATGGCGAAGGGGGGATGGGCGTAGGTAATTAGACTTCTGAGGTGGCCGAGAGCAGGCCATGACGATGAGAGTCCAGGGAGAGGCGAACCGATGAAGTTGCATCCTGAAGAAGCGGGAAGATCCGCGCACCGAATTAATTATTTTAGTGAGGAATGGAAGGGGGAGGGGGAAAGATTGAAGGAAGAACAGCTAAACAAGAACCTGGAAAGAGAAAGGCACGACCGCGGCTGGTAATGACCATACCGACCGCCAAGCCGCCAAGCCGATGCGGGGATTATTTTGGCAGTCTAGAACTGACTGATTGGTTATTCGGGACCAGGAATCCGCGTTCGGAGGTGGGATTTACGGCTTGGCGGTACCACTTCTGTTTCAGTACAGCCGGCCACCCTTCCAGGCCTCGTACTCTGTACCTGGGTAGGCACTGGTAGTCTGGTACCACTACTACTACCACTACGAAGGGTCCCTTTTCCGGGGGTCGGCCCTCCCAAATCTCCCCCTCGCCGTCCGCAAACAAACGCCGAGCCCAGTCTGCCCAGCCCCGCCGAGAGATTGGCACCCTCCCTACACTGTACGCCGGCCGTCTTTCCCCGGTCTGGCGCAGCGTGCTTCGTGTCTGAGTGGTGCAATCAACCAATAAATTAAGTAATCGCTCGCATCTGCCCTCGTCGTGGCTGGTCTTTGTTTCGTGTCCTGCTCCTTGTTCGTCTCCGGCCTGTCGATCCGGTCCGTGATACTTACTTCCAACGTTGGACGTGACTCACTAGCCGGCTAGTTCTACTCCGGCTGAAGGAGATAAAAGTAAAAGGGGGGAAGGTATCTGCGTATGCCCTTGGTATCTTACTCCGTAATCCTTTTCTTTGCCCTCTTCTCCTCCCCAGGACCAGCCAAGACGAAGAACATCCGTTGAATCCTGATCATGACGAGGACGAGCTTCGGGCGACCGATGAAACCTCCGAGATTGAGCCCAGCCCTTGGGAGAGCCTAGGAGTCATTCGCCGAGATCTCCGCATCACTGACATGTGGCATTTTGCGTGGCAACGAGAGACCCGGGAGACTCATCAGCAGCGTCGTTCATTTCCCTGGAGCGGAACTATGCGACGATAAAAGCCCTTATTGGGTTCTTGTGTATCCTTGTGTCACCATCTACCACGCCTCCCGCCTCTAGGCAGCTGCTGCTGTTGGCTATGGTATATCTCGCAGCTGCTCCAGATTGTCTTGGCCTAGTTGCCTAGATCTTGGACCGGTCCGCTTGCGCTTGGCCGGGGACCAAGATGCGATCTCCTCACGCTGGGTGACGGGGGCTGCCGAGCACATCATACGAAGTACATGTGTAAGCTCTTCGCATGTGGGTAAAGATCTCTCGCTTCCCTATCGGTACGCAACACTGGGGATTGATTAGAGAGGTGGGGGGACAGGAGGCAAGGAATAATTCATAGGTGCGTGATTGTGTACGGTACCTTATCTCGGCGGCAGGGGAGCGACTCGCTTCACAATCGCCCCCTCCTTGATGAGTCTCTATCAGTCCACTAGTGGAGTTGAGCGAGTATCCCATGATCTGTTCGATGGCGTCAATCAATGCGAGAAGAGTGACTGAGCACGCTGGGGCCACCTCTGTGACCTGCAACGATCTGACTGATCTACCACTTTGCAAATTTGTTGAAGAACATCACGGCGGGTATATAGAAAAGAGAGAGCGAAGACCCAATCGCAAAACGAAAGTAAAGTGGAGTGAATGCCCAATCAGTCCGTGTAGCGGTGTAGAGATGGGAAAACCTCCACGACGGGCATTTCCCACACCATCCGGAGATTTCTAACGGCCAAGAAATGGAGCAAATCCGAGGAAATCTCCAGGCTAACACGGTTCAACGATCGACTGGCCAGCTGTTCCGATTCCAATTCTAGGCAAATTCACCATCAGAACTTTGTATCGTATTTTTTTTGTCAATCTTTTTGGCGGCTCAACCAAGATCGACGGTTCTTCGTCTGCCCGGGGTATTGCCACCAATAATGGATCTGGTTATGAATGTAGATGAATGGATTGGCCTCTCATCTCGTAGGAGGACTTGCCGGTTTGCCGGACGATGCTAGCGAGTTTGCCAAGTTCCTTGACTCCTATGTTTGAGATTGAAATCGCCTGCCTTATGGCCTTGCCGAGTCTTGTGTTTTCTCTAGGCGCTCCGACGGAGTTCTCCACTGCGGGAACAGGAGCAATGAAGCAGAAGAAATTTCCCTTCTGTTGTTTTATTCGCGATAATGAATCGGTCATCCTGTCTGTATGACATGGTTGTCAATACGCCGAGAATCTTCCCAGCTCCAACCCTCAGTGTGCTCCGCATCACCTTGTCTGCCGAGTAACTACTCAAATCCCGAACCCCGAAAGAAGAATGTGACAAATTCACTCATCTCAGGTCCCATACCGACGATGATTCCAATCATCTAATGAAACTACCCCTGTGGCCTCGCAACGCACCCCAAAACCGGATTTGGCGCGCCCGTTCCCACCGCACATACATCCTACATGGGCCAATGGTGCGGAGAAGATCGTCCCCCCAAAGTGAGGAGACGGAGGGCCGAGGTTCCATCCCCAAGGCCCATTCAGCCTTAAAATGCGCGATGTTACGCCTGCGAATCCCTCGAGTGATATATCGCATATCGGCGTCTGGAATTACTAACGAAGGGATTGGACTCTTGTCGGTCTTGTCGAGAGGGGCTCGCTGTTAGGTGTTTCTGGGTACTGTTTCGATGTGGGTTGGTTATGTGACAAAGTCTCTGACTTGGCTGTCCCTTTGAACAGCCTTCGATTCCTTTTCTTTTTGTTATGGTTTCACCCGTTCGCACCATGAATGAATGCCCTGGAACGAAGAAAACAAGACAATCGGAATGGGCGCCCTCGGCTATCGTTGGGTTTACTATGTTTATCCACCTACATACATGCCCTTTCTGTCCACATGCAAGGAGCAAGGTGGAGACGATAACACATCAACCCGCATAATCATTCCCCTGCATCGGAGGGCATTTACGGCGTGAGATGTCTTATCCTTAATGGCTACGGTATGCTTGATTGCTTAATGTTTTTCCCTCTCCCTCCTTACTCTTGCCTCGCTCTCCCTCTCTCTCTTGTTGGCAGTTGCTGCCGTCAGGCCATCTCCAAATGATGAATGATTCAAGTATACCCCGTTGACATATGGGGGTTGGTGATCATCGTGACGAATGCTCAATATATGACGACTGTGGATGTGGCTCTCCGATTTTCTCTCTTTTTGCTGGTGTTACTGAATTACAGTGACATACTGGTGTTGCTCTGCTCCTGATTGATTCCATGAAGGTAAACTTGTGTTTTGATTCAGGAGCGAGCATGACATTATACTATCCTGTGAAAAGTATCCGTAGTCCAGAGGCAAAATATCCTACTGAGAATGTTCCGAGAAACTAAAAGCCCAGGCACTCCATCGACAAGTCAGTTAGCTCTGAACGGCGAGCAAGTACATACATACATGCAGTACGTACATTCCTTCCTACCATTCTTCTACTCGGTAGTGACACAATCCAAGCCATGGCTCCCATGCTATATCTATTCCAAGCTCCATTTTGTACATACGGAGTATACCCCATATCCAGCACCCTTCCATCAATCTATGATATCAGCCCGCAGGGATAGGGCATGGCTAGTTAGTCGTTAAGCGGTCTACGGCCTGCCCCAATTCGGGGCACGCGTGAATGTTCAATTTTGGTGTCATCAGTAAGGGATGGATGGGGTAAGAGAGGTACTCTGTGGGTAAGTGGATGCGCCCGATCAGATCTATGTCTACTAGGGGATTTCGTCATCGGAAGAGAGAAGAATCGAGTACGGGTTAAGTCATGCTTATGCTTTGCGTAAGTATATGATTCATGTCCTGAGAACCGCTAATTCGAATTGTAACTGTTTTTGGAAGATTGTAGTCGACGATCGGGGTCATCTACGGCTTTGATCGACTGGCGGATGTTGGTTTTTTTGTAAGTGTTGTCGTTTCTCCCAATGTTCTAGTTATTTACCTTTATCATTGACTTGTCAATTGGTTTTCTATTCTTTTCTTTTTATGATAGAGTTATGGCGGGCTTTTCTAGAAGATAACCACCCGTCCAAAGAGATAGATAGATTCCTCCCGGAGAAGAGACCCCGAAATCGAAAAGGAAAAGAAAATATGACTCTTCTATTAACTGTCAATTTCAACCTTGTTTATTTATTTTTCTTCGAACCCTACCCCGTAATAGATATTGCCATACCATTTGCGATCCCCTCCACTCATAAAAGAAACACGATGTCAAAATCCCAACTCCCTCAATGTGCCTGCCGGATTGATCAGTGGAGCACTAGTCCTCATCCATGCAAGGATCGATCCCGACCGG